AGATCTATTTACACTCTCTTGTTTACAATAGCATATGCACAGTGACCATGACAAAATTCAGCCTAAGTGTCCATCAGATGAATGGATTTTAGAAAAGTGGTACAACCCACAGTAGAATATAATTCAGTTATTTTAAAAGGATGATTTCCTGTCATTTGCAATAGCATGGATGAACCTGAAGGGATGATGTTTAGATGAATTAGACAAGCACAGTAAGACAATTACTGCTTAATGTCACCTAAATGTGTGTGTGTTGATACTGAGGCTTTGACTCAGTGCCTCACACTATTACTTGACCTTTCTGCTCAAGACTGGCACTCCTCTACTTTTGCTCTACCATACTCAGTTCCACTTCGGGTTTTGGGGTGGTTAATTATAGATCAGGATCTCATGGACTTTCCTGCCTGGTCTAGCTTCAAGCACTCAGCCCCCTGGGTAGCTGAGAACTATAGGGATGAGTCACTGGCACCCAGCTCACCCAAATAAACTTTTAAGAAGAGCACCTTTAGAAATTAGGGAGAATATGATACAATTTCTTTTTTGGCTACAAATTTAACTTTTTAATCCTACAGTCTATTTCCTGTTTTGTTTTTCTCTTTTTATTTTCTGGATTCAAGGCAGCATTGCTTAACATTCCTGGAGCCTAAGCTTATTTTCCATGATAAATTTGTGCATTTGCTTCAATTACCCTCAGAACTATTAGAATTTCAGAGATAGATTCAGAGATTTTACTGCATTCTAATGATCTGCCTTCTTTTATCCCTTATTTTAATCATACACAACTTTGTACTTTGTCTGAAGAGATTTCATAAAACATAAATAAATGTTACGTGTAATACACGTGCATGAATTGCCTCATGAGTTTGAACCTCTAGAAGCTATAACTCTGTTGACTAAAATGCTTTAACCTAAATCTCAGTATGCAAAATAAACCATTTAAGGCTGAATTGGCTTTAATATAAAACCACTTGTAAATAGCCTAAAGTGTTTGGGAATCAGTGCCAAAATATTATTCCTTTTGTGCTTTCAAAAAAAAAGCGGTCTTGCTTTTCTTTATTTATATGTGGATGGTAAAATTCTTGTCCAAGAAAAATAAATTTCTAAATGTCAAAAAATTAAAATTAATAAATAATAAAATGAACATGATTTAGTGTCTTTGAACTACATCCATCAAATGGTAACATGAATTCTGTCTTAGGGCAGGAAAAGATGACTAAGGAGGCTAAGGCAGGAGGGATGAGAATTCACAGCTAGATGGGATACATAGCAAGATCTTGCCTAAAAAAAGAGAGGAAGAGGAAGAATATTTTTGATTTACATATTAGAGTCTGGGTTGGCAAATTAACACCTGAGGATATTATATCCATGAAATAAGCAAAGCACAGAAAACTACTGCCTGGGCTCACCACCTATTTTCTAAATAAAGTTTTCTTAAAATACCACAGTCATTTTTGTATGCATTCTCCACAGCTGTTTTCATGCTACAGTAATAGAATGGAGTCACAGCCACTGGCCTGGAAAGCCAAGAATATTTTCTACCTGGCCACTTACAAAAACATATTAACAATCCCTGGGCATTTTGTGAGCTTTTCCCAAAGAAGGAGATAGATTTGTAATGCTTAAAAATAAAATATCAGTGCACTGTTTCTTTTAGAAAGAGAAAGGTCTGGGGTATCATCTTCAATTGGTCAGTGGATTCCACACTTCTACTCTACATTTTACAATACTAGATAATAAGTATTATGACATTTTCCTTGTGAATATGGATTATGTGCACAAATTATGTAGTTAGAAAATATTTTTAAAATATATTTATTTAGAAATATGAAATATAAAAAGCATAGTAACACATCTATGTAGATAGATAGTATTTAATATATGTAAATTATATAACATCTGTACGTATAGAGTATAGATACATGACAGAGAAGGCAGACATCAATAATTCTTGTCATAAGCTTTGCACTGGTGGCTCATATCTGTTCTTCTAGCTACTCAGAAGGCTGAGATCAGAGGATCATAGTTCAAAGTCAGTCTGAGCAGACAAATTAGAAAGACTCTTATCTCCAATTAACTAGCAAAATGACAGACATGGAGGTGTGGTTCAAATGACAGAGTACCAGCCTAAAGCAATGAAGCTCAGCAAGAGTATGAGGTCCTAATTTCAAGCTCCAGTACTGATGGAAGGTGGAAAGAAGGAAGGAAGGAAGGAAGGAAGGAAGGAAGGAAGGAAGGAAGGAAGGAAGGAAGGAAGGCAGGCTATTATAAGCTGTTATAAGCTGATGGTTGAGATGGGAAAACAATCTGAAGTATCAGGTAAGAGCCCTTGGAGAGAAAGGCATCCTACAGATGGCAATGGTGGCTGTGGGACCACTTGTTTAGTGCAACACTTGTGGCAATCCTGTCATTTATTGCTTCTACACAAATCTGAGGAGAGAAATAATTTTTAGGAGGAAAGACAGCCTCTTTCTGTTGTAGAACTTCCTAAAGTTCATCCTTCCCTTGCTTTAATTGATCTGGGAGCTCCCGAAAGCCACTTAGGCCTATATCCTTTGTGTCACTAAAAAAGGCCAAGGGCATTGGAACCTACAGCTCCACTCTCTTCACATCTCCTTTATTGCACCCCAAGTCCCATAAAAACAATAAATCCCCTTTGAAAGCCCTCTCATTTTGTGCTAGCAGTCAGCTGCCTTAGGACATGATTGTGTGCTATGAAAAATAAGATAAGGAACTTTAATGAAGGTCTCGGAATGCAAACCTAACACATAGTTCTCCAATTCTCTCCCACTGACTACATCCAAACACATCGCTATTTTTTAATAAGAACTTTTGTGTTGTCCTGGGTGGTTCCTCAGACAGCCTCAGATTAACACAACACTGTCCCACCACAAGATCAGGTCATGTGAACATCACTGGACAGGGAGAAATGGCTATTCGTTGTTAGGAACATTTTCAAGATTCCATAAATTATGACTAATTAAAACCAACTTAAATTGCAACCTAGAGTTTCTTTCACAATGTTATGGACCATGCCAGGATATCAGAGAAACAAACGGCTTTAAATCCATAATACTATGAACTAAATTGCTCCCATAAATTCCTATATTGAAACCCTAGATCTTGATGTACCTACATGTTGAACATAGGGCCTATAAAAAAGTAATAAATGTTGAATGAGGTCATAGGGTTGAGACCCTGGTAGGATATGACAGTTTTCATGCAAAAAGATACTAGCACATTAAGAACAACAACAACAACAAAGAAAAACCTCTTGTGTCCATGTCTTAGAGTTAATTTCACTTAGCATCATCTTATACGGTAGCTATTGAGCTATACTGCTCATCTGCTGAGATTATCCTAGACATATACTAATTATTGCAAATAAGGGAAACCATGGGACCCATGTTTCTTTGAATCTGGCTTACTTCACTTAATATGATTTTTTCTGTCTTTCCATTTTCTAACAAATAGGACAGTGTGATTCTTTCTGATGAAAGCATAGAATTCATATATATATATATATATATATATATATCACTTTGTTGTTGTTTTTAATATGCTATCTGATTTCTTTTTTCTTTTGTGTGTTTCCCCCCTTTGGTTTATCCTCTGTTGTCACTGTATTTGATTTTGGTACTGGTGTTGTATATACATTTATCTGAATTAGGGAAGGGAAGAAGAACAATAGAATGGTGAGAGAAAGGACAATGGAGAGGGAACCAATGTAATAGTAATATTCACAAGACAATATGTTGGAAATGATCTGTACAACTTGGGAAGGGATTGGGGGAAGGGAAAAAGGGAGAAAGCAGGAAAGAGATAACAAGTTCGACAAGAAATGTACTTATTACCTTACTTATGTAACTGTAACCCCTCTGTACACTACCTTAACAATAAAAAAATTAATTTTTTAAAAAAAGACACTAACTCAGTATTAGATGACTTGGGGGAAAAAAGAATATTGTCCATAAGAATGCTCTTTTTAGGTGGAGCACCAATGGCTCACACCTATAATCCGAGCTACTCAGGAAACTGAGAACTAAGAATCACAGTTGAAAGCAAGCCAGGGCAGGACTCTTATCTCTAATTAATCACCAAAAACTATGAAATAAAAAATGTTTTGGCTAGAGGATGTTGACTAAGGGCATCTGAACAACATGGCCCCGATTGTCACATCTGCCATTTTGTTCATCTGTCTTAAAAACTAGTACAGCTTAGAATTCTAAAACTTACACTTCTACTGTCAATTTTTACCAAATTGTCCTTTTGTTTTAAAGTCATATAGAAATGAGACTCAACTATACCAAAGCAGTCCATTATACTTGAAAGGTTTGAGAACCATAGGCTGCTGGTCACCATGGCTCATGCCAGTCAACCCACCTACTCAGGAGTCTGAGATTGGAAGAATCACAGTTCCAGGCCAACCCAGGAAAAAAGTTCATGATACTTTATCTCAACCAATAGTTAGGAATGGTGGTACATATGTGTCATATATCTGTCATCCCCACTATGTGAGAATTGTAAACTGAGGATCATAGTCCAGGCTGGCCTAGATAAAAAGTAAGACCCTATCTCAAAAATAGCTTGCAGATAAAGGGCTAGAGGCATGGCTCGAGTGATAAAAAGAAAGAGAGAAAGAAAGCGGAAGAAGGAAGGAAGGAAGGAAGGAAGATAGGAAGGAAAAAAGACAGAAACCATGAGTTTCCTCCAGATTTTGCTAAATTATGGAATCATTATGCTAATTTGTGATTCACCTCTGGATCATAAACTGTTGTCCAACATCATCTAGAAGCAATCATCCTTGACACACAGGTTTCAGATTAGAACTTACAAATGCTATCTAGCCATCCCGGGGGGTGTGGGTTAAAAATAATTTTGCATGTGCACACATAACATTGTTCACAGAGAATGAATCAGCACAAGCGCTGATTATTCAAAAACAAATAAATCTAACATACTGTCTACAAACTTTTCCCTCTCTTCTGAGTCTCTGAACATACCACAAAAACAGGATCATTGGCCGCAGAATGTGGCAAGGCATTTGTCCCATTCAGGAAGGAGTGGACCAAATTGTGTAGGCTCATGACTTGAGAGTCCAGTGTTCCATCCGCTTTATCAAAGCCTTCCAGGGCATTCCTAAGAGAAGCCAGCATGTCAGTGACAACAAGCAAATATTGACTAAGGTCTCTATTTATTGTCTCCAGACCAATCATCATCTAATCTGAGGCTGAATAGGGATAGGAGAGGCCATGTCATAGCTAATTAACTATCAACCCCCCATGGAAGTGGAGCTCTAGTTCAAGTGGTAGAGCTCTAGTCTTACTGAAAAAAAAAACTAAGGGACAATACCCAAGCCCTGAGTTCAAGTCCCAATATCAGCACCTTCCCCCTAAAAACACGTTAATAATAATCTTTTATTAGGGAAGGAAACACCTAAACAATGCTACTTCTGAATATATTGCATCTCCATAGGATATTCACTATCTCAGATAATTCCAACAATGTTGTCTGGGGACTACACTCCTAACTCAAATCTATAGGAAATACAATGAGTTTTAATGGCATTTTTATCACAAACAAATGCACATTCCTTTATAAAAGCAATCTTAAATCTCATTTTTGACCAACCATTGACCCCTACTTTAAGGGTTGTGTCCATACTGAGCACATACTCCAAACCCTGTTACAATTAGCACAACTTCCGCATCCTGCCCCTAGCCCACAAGTTATATAATTAACAGAGAGTGAGAGAGAGAAGAGAGAGAGACAGAGACAGAGACAGAGTATCCAGCAACTATAAATCTAGATACCACCTCTCTTTGGAAGCCCCATTCATCTTAGTTAAAACATTGCTTCTCTCTATATATGTATTCCTCATAATTCTTAAAGTCTGTTTTGGCCTATAAATTTTGGATATAGGAATGTGATTACTGTGCATTCATTTGAGTTGAAGTTAGTCTGCAAAACTCGAAGAGCTCAGATCCTCTTAATATTATTTCTAATGTTAACATTAAAAAACAAAGAAGGCTTAGCATGGTGGCACAGGACCACTCTCAGCTACTCAGAAGATGGATATTGGGAGGTTCATAGTTCAAGATCAGCACAGACAAATAATTAGCAAGACCCCATCTTAAGCAACAACATGTCAACAAGGCAGGACATAAATGTAATCCTAGTTATGTGGGAGCATAGATAGAAAACTTGTGGTCTGAAGTCAGTGGTGGGAAAACCTGAGACTCTCCCTATCTGAAAAATAATAAAATCCAAACAGGGCTGTCATCCTGGCTCAAATGATAGAGTACCTGCCCAACAAGTATGAGGGCCTGAGTTCAAATCCTTCTACTACCAAAATAAGCAAATGTGTGTGTGTGTGTGTGTGTGTGTGTGTGTATATATATATATATATATATATACATGTTTATATAAACAAGTATAAACATTGGTTTATTCTGATAGTAGAAAGATAAAAAAAAGAAAGAACATTTTTAAAGTACTGTATTTTAAATGTTCGAAGTATCCAAACAAAAGATCGTTTTCAATAGTTATATTCGAAGCTGATGAAACCACACTATTAGTTATAGATGTGATGAAGACTTTCCTAACATCAATCCTTCTTTAACCTCTGTTATTAAGCACATTTACATTTCTTAGCTTTGTAGATATCTCCAATAGCTAGAATTCTCTCCAGTGCATTACAAACACATGGGTGAAATGTTAGTTATTGTAGAAGAGCTCGGAGCACCAACCTGAAGCTGAAGGTAGAGTTTTGGAAGAAAGGAGGATTGTCAAACTTCTGGAGGGACAGACAGTCTTGAATGCTTTTTAAGGTTGGCAATTTCTCACCATTGCTTCCCACTTGATTTCTTCTCAACAACCCTTCATAGGTTCCATTACACAGAGTGACCTGGCGGTTGTAGTCGTCCAAGCTAAGAATCAGAAGAAGGTTAAAAATAGTATATCTTAGTTGATGTTATAAACTTGGACCCAGGATACAATGAGGATCGTAATAATAACATTTTTATTATTTGCCTTACAAGGGCCAAAATTAGGTGGTGAAATATTACTGTTGAAATAATCGTAAGCTAAGATATTTGAAATATATAGATGCATAAAATATGAATACAGCAATAAAAGCGATAATAATTCTATCCCATTGAAAAGACAATGACAGGGTCTAGTAGACAAGATGGTAACTCCTACTGTGTGTATTTGAATCTGGAGCAAGCCAGGTTGCCTGTATGACACAAAGCCCAGCCAGTTTGGGTGGAAATGGCTATGTAGAGGGGAAAAAGCATTTTAAGCACACAGAGTAAAACCAATAAAATGACAGGAAAGGCTTATAAATATTTTAGGAAGTAAAAATGCTAACTACCTTGGTTGGCTGTATGTGTTGAAGCATTACATTGTATCCTATTATTAACAAAATTAAAATATATTTTTGAAAAAAAAATGAAGAAACATACATTGGCAGCAAGGCTCTGGTGGTAGAGTGCCATTTGGGAGCAAAACAAGCCAAAAAGGTTTGGGAGACCCTGAGTTCGGGCCCTGGTGCCACCACGCGCACACACACACACACACACACACACACACACACACACAAAAGTAACCAGATACTACCTAATTTTTCATTGAAAAAATGCAAAATGTAGAAAAGTGCCATGTCCCACTGGAAAATTGTTACATGGAAATGTGGAAATGGCCCCCCAGGTACATTAGAAGCAAATAGGGAAATAGAATGTCCATCCCTTTGACATAAGATAAGCCAGTCTGTCCTATGCAGCACATATGCCATTACCTGTTGCAGACAATTTCCCAGCTGGAGAATCTTGAGCTCTGACTAATCAGAGTTGGGTCATCTTGTCTTGCTGCTCCAAACAGCTGGTCTGTGCACACATCACATTCATTCCTCCCAGTGGCAAAGTTCCAGTAAGGCAAAGCGAAGGACTCATTACCAATGAGTCGCTAAAAGCAAAGGGCAGGTACAGTCTGTTGATTATGCAGCAGATACAACAAGAAGGCAGATAAGCAAAGACTGATGTCCCCATCAAATGCACAGGAACATTAAAAGTACCAGAGAGATGAATGCAATATAGTTGAGCTTTAATAAAGAAATCCTAATGGCTGCAACAAAATAGATGAACCTAGAAAATATAATGTTAAGTGAAATTAACCATATACACACATACAGAACAAATACAACATGATCTCACTTAAATGTGGAATCTAATAGCTAGAAATCAGGGAAGGGCATTACAAGATGAGTAAGTCTAGAGACCACATACACAACATGAGGACTACCATTGGTAATAATACATTGTACTCCACACTGATGATTTGCAAAAGAGTAGGTTTTTAGATACTCTTAAAATACACATGAATTATATATAAAAATTATATCCAAAATGAATTATATGAGATGTTGAGCATGGTACCTTTCTTAACTGTCACTTCACTATGAATACCAAGACATATACATCAAAACATCATATTGTACAGTAACTCTGTTTTTTAGTTTAAAATACTCAATATATAGTTTTGACCAACCTGGAGATCTCTTTCCAGCCACAACAAATGGTACCGATGCCAGGTAACAAAGGCAGGCCCTTGGTGCGAGAAATCGATGGCCTTATAGGGACGACCTGGTCCTAAAACAATTGGGAAACATTAAAGATCACAGAATAGAATATTTAAAATATTAAACCGTGCCTGGGATATGTCTCTATAGCCAATAATTTCATGATGAAGAAAGAGAGGTTATTTATGTCTTCAAAAGCAACAATCATGCTGTTCTTGGACGACAGGGGGAGGGTGGTCAGGGGAGAGTACAGAACTCAAGGAAAAAAGGGTACAAAAATGTGGCAGTGGATATTGATAAAAGTGAACTATGTAAGTTATGGGTGGAAACAGGAGGGAGGGACTGAGTGAGAGAGAGGGAACAGAAGACACTGTACAAAAGGAAATATACTCATTACCTGACTCATGTAAATGTAACCCCTCTGTACATCACCTTTGTAATAATAAAGAAAATTTTAAAAATCATGACAAAAGAATTTCAAATAACATTTTTAAGACGAAATCATTTTCATCTCTCAAAAATCTGACTTTTAGAGAGGACCCAGAAAGTTCAAGTACTTTTCCTACTATATAGTTAATTGCTTTAGCAAGGGGCGGAGGGAAGCAGGGGAGGGGGGATTACTGGGGCTTCAGGGCTTCATGCTCTTGCTTAGCTTTCTCTAGATTTTCTCACTCAAAGCTGGCACTCTACCACTTGAGCCACATCTCCACTTCTGGTGTTTTGCTGGTTAATTAGAGATGAGATTAGTACCGATTTGTCTGCCAGGGTTAGCTCTGAACCTTGATCCTTAGATCCCATCATCCTGAGTAACTAGAATTACAGGTATGTGCCACCAGTGCCTTTTTTATCTGGAATCAAAGGGAATTTAAGAATTTTAGAATCAAAAGGAATTTATAGAATATAAATTTAAACCAACTATGCATTAAGAAGAAATGCAGTCTCTGTAGGTTATTAAGACCCAAATGAACTATAATTTAAAAAGACATTTGTGTCTTACAAATGCACAAATTTATAAGGGAAGAACTAATTAATTACATAGCAACGCCGACCACACAGAATCCTAATGCAGTATTTATTCAATCAAAAGGAACTTCCACAGATTCTGCTTCACTCATCCATCAGATCCAACTACTAGCTGACAAGCATAGTCACGGAGACCAGAAGAGAGAAAAATACATTCAAAGCAATTTAGTTGGCCACTGGAACTGCCAATTTTAGTGAGGCGCTTTGGGCAATTTAATGCCCTCCTTACTGCCTCTTCCATCCTTCTTCTCCCGCTCATAACAGCTTTGGATGGTTATGTAGAAACTTTAGCTAACTTCAGTCCTTTCTCAAAGTATCTATAATAACTTCAGAGAGCTGAAAAGACATGAATATAAATTTAATTCCTCAATATGACCAGAAACTATAGTTTTCCTCTTGAGAGACTACCCGCTCATAAAGCAAAAATTCCTCAGAAGGATGACAGGAAAACTATAAAGGTTTATAGTCGGAAGAGCTTCTTTCCTTATCTATCGATAAAGAAAGACAGATGGTTACCTGTGAGGCAGGTATTAAAAAAGAAGACTCATACCAAGAGCAGAACTGTTGTGTCTGTTATTAGAGGCAGAAAGGTTTTTCAAATGTTTTTTATCTAGAGCTCAGTTTCAAATTTCTCCACACAAAATGATGAGGGAATGTCAAAGGATGAGAATAAGTGATAAACACTAGGAGGAAAGGAGACTTCAAGTAAGAATAGTACTATTCCAGGGGAAATAATTTGTCTTTATTTACTGTGATCCCCCCAAAAAGTACCCTAAAATTAGGAACAGTTGGTAGAAGAATCTAGAATAGATTCAGACTCTCTTGGAACAATATGATAGCTTCTCTCCAACTGATAAACAACCCACCTATTTGGTTAATGCACTTTATAACAAACCATCTCCCATTCTCAGTCCTACCCAGTCACCCAATTTTTAGAACCTGAGAAGGTTCTCAATATTTCCTCAGCATCATTTTCATTTCACCATTTTTGAAAGCATCAAATAAAACCATAGGCCAAAAGGCAAGGCACAAGAAACTACCTTGCTGTGATTCCACTTACACTTTTCTTAAACAATAAAGCTAAAAATAAAATAAAATAAAGTCAGGGATTCCTAGCAGTGGCTATGTATACTGTAAGTGATTATCTAATGGAAAGTCTAAAAGTAAGTTTAACAAGATTCACATTTCCAACATGGATATCAATTGTGCACAAAGAAGGTCCACGTGCTTTGCCACAGGCTCAAGTTAATTCCTCTAATTTGAAGAAAAGGTCACCCAGGGTTTCTATGGCCAGATTTGAAGTTCTTTTTTTTCTGGAATCAAAGGAATTTGCCTCCACTTCACCGAACATGACTTTGAGGATTAATAACTTCACAGAGGCCAGTTTAAGGCTTTGAACCAAGAACATAACCGGAGGCATCTGCAGCCGACATACAGGACCAAACATCACCATTCCAACTTTAGGCAGTATTTGGTAATTCTACCCATTGACAGACAGGCCACTTCCTGCCTTGAGGTCGGTTGTTTCCTTGTTCATGAACTTGGGTCAAAGTGACTTTCCATCCCACATCCTCACCCAATCACACATTTTTTGCAGTAAGCCTTAAGCCAAGAGAGGGGAAACCCACCTAATAATGTATCCCTAACCGAATAATAATGAAGCCACACGAAGAAATCATAAATGCTGCAGTTGGCGATCTGGGGCTGGGTCCCATTGGGCCCAAGCAGGCCCAGCCAGTGCTGGGTGGTGATCACATAGTCGGGGTGCACGCTCCTCTTCGCCAGGTCCAGTGCACCCAGGAACTGTTCCCGCTCCTCAGGCGCCAAAGAATGGATGTCCCTTCGCACAACCAGTGGTTTCCTTTGGTCACAGTTGGAGCCCGACCAGCCAAACTTGCAGTCTCCACAATCATAGCCAGCAAAGTTTCCTGATTGATAGAAAGGGAGAGAGAAATGGGGGGGGGAGGGGGAGAGAGAAAAGATGTTTGATGTCGTTTGGTACAAGTTTCTGAACTAGAATTTGGGGGAAGAATGAAGAGAATAGAGGAAAGCAAGTCAGTTGCCAGATACATACAAAGAATATGATCTGTAACAATCTCCCACTCTCAGTCCTACCCAGTCATTATATTTTTAGAACCTAAGAGGGTTCTTAGTATTTCCTCATCAGTTTTCCTGTCATTCTTTTGAGGAATTTTTGCTTTGTGGGACAATAAATTTCTGCTAATAAAGTCAAAAATGAAAAAAAGAAAAAAAAAGTCCACTTCCTCTCCCCCAGTCTCCTCTCGAAATCTAAGTAGGGCCAACACTAAAAACTTCCCTGGAATAATCCCAGCAAAGAAACAGGACGTGAAATGCTCTAGAAAGTTCTATAGAAATCCCAACAAAGAAACAGGGTATGATATGCTCTAGAAGCTTCCCTAGAAATCTCAGCAATGAAACAAGACATGAAATCCAATTAGAAAGTTCCATAAAAATCCCAGTAAAGAAACCGGTTATAAAATGCACTGCAAAATATTATAGGCTTAACTGTGTCCCCTTTGAAATGAACATACTCAAGTGCAAACCCCCAGAAACTTGTGACTATAAATATTTGGAGATCAGGCCATTGAAGAGATCATTATGGCTGGGCACCGGTGGCTCACTCCCATAAACTCAGGAGGCTGAGATCTGAGGATCATGGTTCAAAGCCAGCCCAGGCAGTAAAGTCCTTATCTCCAATTAACCACGGAAAACCGGAAGTGGCACTGTGGCTCAAGCAGTAGAGTGCTCACCTTGAGCTGAAGGCTGAGGGACAGTGTCCAAGCCCAGAGTTCAAGCCCCATGACAAAAAAAAAAAAAAGCCTAAGAAAGAGATAATTATGTAAAAGAAGGTCCTAGTCAGTATGATTATTGTTCTTATAAGGAAAGGGAAGAGAGACACAGACACACATAAAATAAGACTGTGGAAGAATTCAGGGAGAAGATGGCCACCTGAGTCAAAGGGAAAGAAGTGTCAGAAGAAACCAATCTTGTAGACAGATGTTCTTAGACTTCAGCCTCCAGGGCTAGGAGGAAATACATTTGTTGTTTAAGTCACCCAGTCCAGGATAATTTGTTATGTCATCCTAGTAGATGAGTGCACATGCTCTAAGGCCTCTTTAACAGTCACAGATCTGTCCATCCATTGTCCCTGCCAGGCCCCACCCTGGACTGATCAGTAGCTTGGGATGTCCCCTGAACCCTGCTGTCCCCAGGCCCGGCACAGGCCCATTCATTGATTTACAGAGGGAGAGAACATGTGCGTCAGTGGAACCAAAATTAATCAACGAGCAGGCTTCCAGGAATGCAAGTAGACTAGCATCAAAAACATGGGTTTATCTCACAAAGGAAACAGCATGAAGACAAAAAAAAAAATCAATGGAGGCTGGCAGGTCGTAAAGGTGAATTAGCTGCCACCACCTGAGCAAGTGAAAAAAATTCCTGCAAGTTTCACTGGCAGCCACTCTGTGTCCTTGATTTGTCAATGCCCAAGGGACCAGGACTAGTGCTATCCACTTCTAAGATATCCCAGGTTGGCTTTCAATAGTTCAGTCTTTCAATGTGCCTTTGACTTCTCCCCCCACCTTCTTAGCCTTTCTTCCTAAACTCCTCCGGCCTGGGCTACCTGCTCCCTCTTTAAACCTCATGATGGATCCTCTTTATGGCATTTTGCAATGTTGGAGATGGAAGCCAGGGCTTCATGCATGCTATGCAAGCCCTCTGCCAATGATCAATGCCCCTGTTCTACATGTCAGAGTCAGCTGGGCCTGAGCTATACTCACCTCTTAATCCCCCTTACATTCACATTTGTCATACCAACTGCTGGACTTATAAACTCTATACATAACCCAGGGAGCTAACTCACAACAGATGCCTGGGCTTGGCCTTGTATGCAGTGAATGTATCGAATGAATGATGGAAATATAAAGCAGGTAGGGAATAATACATGCTACTGCTTCAGAGACTTATGCTGTTGCTTGGCTTTCTTACTCGCAGCTCGTGCTCTATTACTTGAGCCACACCACCAGTCTAGCTTTTTGCTAGACTCTATTTGAAAATAGTCTTTCAGACATTTCTGTCTGGGATGGATTCTAACAGCAATCCTCAGATCTCTGCTTCCTCAGTGGCCAAGATTACAGATTTGAGCCAATGGCACCAGATTGTTTGATGGCCAAAGAAATTTTCATTAAAAATACAAAAGGCACATCTGTAATCCTAGCCACTCAGGAGGCTGAGAACTGAGGATTGGGGTTCAAAGCCAACCCAGGCAGGAAAGTCCATGACAATCTTATCTCCAGTTAACCAACAGAAAACCAGAAGTGGTGCTGTGGCTCAAAGTGGTAGAGTGCTAGCCTTGAGCAAAAGCGCTTTAGGGACAGCACCCAAGCCCCTAGTTCAAGCCCCGAGAACAACAACAACAAAAAGTAAATAAAAATACAATAGGTAGGATGAGCTCAAGGAACAATAATTGATTGCATATTGGGCTCCTTTGTAACATGCAAAGTATTTAAACTTTTTTTGCAGCTGGTCCCAGAGCTTAAAACGACTTGGGTGCTGTCCCTGAGCTTTAACTTTTTCTGTTTGTTTGTTTGTTTGTTCGTGGTTAATTGGAGGTAAGAGTCTCATGGATTTTCTTGCACAGGCTGATTTTAAACCAGTCTCCTGAGTAGCTAGGCTTACGGGCATTAGCCACCAACATCTAGCTTTTATCTACACTTAAATGAATTGCTTGTATTTTCCTGCTTCAGTAACATAGGAAACAAAAGTAAAAAGAAAAAAAAAATCTACTTCCAGACTCAGATTCATATTTTTTGCTGTGAATCCCAAGCAGCTCAAATATTTTTTAAATACTAGGGAATAACACTTCTAATGTTATAATAATAAATTTGATACATTCCTATATTCAAAGGCATAAAGTCTATTTTTAAATTTGGGAGCCTCATTATTCAAATTGAATAATTCATAGTTAATGCCATAAACTTCAAGACTAAACTACTTCCTCTATTATGGTTTGTTTTGCTTGATAGAAACAAAATTATCAATAACTAATTGTCTCCCTCATTTATTCCTTCAACAAACAGTATACTAAACATGTACCTTAGTGCAGTATCTGGGGAAGCTGTATGTCCAGTGGTGGCATGTGGTAGGAAGTATGAGGGGTTCTCTGTGCTACACTGTGTGTGTATGTGTATGTGTGTGAACATGTGTGTGTGGGTGTGTGTATGTGAAAGTAATGGGGCTTTTTTGTCTTTTTTTAATTTAATTTTTATTTTCAAGGTGATATACAGAAGGGTTACAGTTACATATATAAGGTAACGAGTATATTTCTTGTCCAACATTGTTATCCCCACCCTTGTTTTTTTCCCCTCCAACTCTCCCTCATACTCCAAGTTGTAAAGTTCATTTGCAACATATTGGGGGGCTTGAACTCCAGGCTTTGCATCTTGCTTAGCTTTTCCACTCAAGGTTGGTGTTCCAATACTTGAGCTACACTTCCACTTCCAGCTTTTTGCTAGTTAATTAGAGATATATGTTTCACAGACTTTCCTGTTGGGGCTGGCTTCAAACCTCAGTACTCAGATCTCAGCCTCCTGAGTAGCTAAGTTTACAGGTGTGAGCCACCAGCTCTGTACTTTTGTTCTCTGTACTTTTGTTTCACTTTTGCTGTCAACCTGAAACTGCTCTAAATAATAATAATAATAAATACAGTCTTGGAAAAACAAAATTTCAACAGGCCTTCCTCCATGGCTACAGAGCCTTCTGTGCATTCAGAGAAGTTTCCACACTGACGAACTTTGCACTTAACCTCTCAGAGCCTTCCATATTATGGTCAGACGCCCATTTCAAGCACATTAAGACAAGGGAACGTGCAAAATCGTAAGCTAGCGCTAGCATTATTGTTGTCAGTACTTTTCAAATAGGAAAGCAATGATTTCTTTTCCTCTCCACTTCACCTATCACTACACTGAACACACTCACAAAGCATGTTATTCTTTGCCTCTCACACAGCTTAATACAATCAGTGCTAAATCAATGCTGATTGAATGGGTGGAAAGGAAAGGAAAAGAAACAATGAAAACTTACATCCAAGGCATCAGGCCCAGTGGGATATAAGTGCAAACAAGGCACAGTGTCCAAGTCAAGGGGAAAAGAAGGTGTGGGCATTGTGCATTGTGCGAGAAGACACCCACTCATCTAACTGTAGGAAGTGAACATTGAAATATACCCATCTCTGAGGGATGAGAGATGACAACAATGAACACTGACTCCCAAGACCAGAAACCCTTCACAACTGTGGAGAACAAGGAACTTTCAAAGACCAAGCAATGTCTTCAACACATTGCTTAACTAATGCTAAGAAAGTATCCGAATTTTCAGTTCATAAGTGGGATAGTTAAGAAAGAATGAGGTTTGGTTACTGGGAAATAGAGAGAGGGGGACTTAAAATCAAGGATAGCAATCTATCTCCTTGAGAAAAAAATAAATTTAGAGTCTGAGTCCTCACCTGACTTAGGGCTGGGATAAAGAAAAAGAGAACAGCTAAACATCACATGTGCCCACATGCATAACATCAGCTCAAACTCAGAAAGTTATTAGACTAAATAACGGCCAGTGATTAGTGAATTTACAAGGAACTCTAAATGGCCTATTCCTTTTAATTAGAGATTCTATTATTTTAATAACAATACTTTATACTCACATAGGTCCTTTCATCTACAGAGCTCAAAAAAGATTTTACAAGTGTGGTTTCACCATTATCCCCATTTCAGAGATTGGAAAATAGAGGCAGTTAGTCACTTGTACAAACAAGAACTTCTCAGCCAACTGTTCAAAACTATTTGGTGCTCAAGGTTTGGTTTTGTTTTGTTTCCAAAAGTCCAGAGACACAGCTGCAACTGTCATATTCTCATAAATGCCAACTGGCAATGCTTTAAATGGTAAATAGTGAATGCCAAAGTCTCCTGAAACACAGCTTAGCCTGACAATTAAGTTCAGCAATCTTTTAAAAAAATTATCTCTATAGAAAATAAAGAAGTGTTCTACAGGGAATTGAAATATATTATTTAGGTTTTTTTTTTTTCATATCAGTGTTTGCACTTGCCTTTCATTTATGAGGCTGAAGTTACTTTTACTGTTTCTTCAGTGCAGTAACAAAAGTGAGGGCTATCAATAGCTTGATGGCCCAGAAAAAAAAGGGGGGCGGGTTGGGAAAGTGGCTCAGTGGTAGAGTTCTTACCTTGCATGCATGAGGCCCTGGGTTAGATTCCTCAGCACCACATTAGCAGAAAAAGCTGGAAGTGGCGCTGTGGCTCAAGTGTTAGATTGCTCACCTTGAGCTGAAGAGCTGAGGGACAGTGCCCAGGCCCAGAGTTCAGGCCTCACTACTGACAAAGAAAAGACTTTTTAAAAAAAAATAAGATACAAGGAATCTTTGGAGATGTGGAGACGCTGGCTATTACCATGATTGTGGTGACAGCAACTCAGAGATAAACCTGGGTCCAAACTCAGGAAACTGAATCTACTAAATGAAGTATTTCGAAGGCAAGCATACATCACTAAAGCTAGGGAGAATAAACAATGGTCTATTAAATTAAAGTTACTGTACAGCAAAATTTAAGTGACTTAAAAAAACCCACATGGACACAAAAATTTGGTATGAATTTAAAAAATAAAAGAGATACTGAGTGAATCTAGCCAATTACATAGAGAAATCACAGGAAGGACCTGCAGGCTCAGCCTGGCCAGGAACATGGCTAACGATGAAGAACACATGCAGTGATGAGGAAGCCCAGCTTCCGTGGATATGCAGTGCAGTGGGTATATAGTGGCACTTACAGGATGTGATCTATTACCGTCTCATAGTCTTTTGAATAAGGTATAATGAGTTTTGTTCTAAGGTAGATTGCTTATAAGTGGGAGAAAATTTATAAACATTCCTTTGGCAAAAGTGATTTGATATTTAACAAGTACCCCTTCTATTCTGCCATTGTCTGGCTCTTCCTATTCTTGCCTTTTAAAAAATACATGTGTGGTGGTAAATCAAAGTATATTTTATGCAAGGGCAGATGTATCCAAATGAGAACCTGCATGTTCTATAATTACTGTGCCATCACTTAAAAAATGAGATAGGATGTGCAATGCAGATTTGAAACAGAAAGGAGCTAGGGACAGGAAAAGTTACCATTAATCTCTGAATCACTAAAACCTTTTCACCCAGAAATCTATAAAAGGAGATGTCCAACTTTTTGAATGTCGTGGCATTTTATCATCCATTAACATGGAAAACAATTACAATAGAAGTGCTCGGGAGCTTAATACAAAGGAGTAGCATGTTAGTGTGGTTTCCCCTGTACAAGTATTAGGAAATCTGCTGCGTTCATAGGCTAAGAACCCAGGAAACCTTGTAAGAGAATATCTATAGAAGCAAGTGCTTAATATCTTGGGGAAAAAATAAATATGGTCAATGTGTTATGAAAACATTTGTCACAAGAAGTACCTAGGGCAAAAGTAGGACTGAAAAAAATCTCTGTGACTCACATCATTGAAAATATAACTGCAAAGGCTAGGGATGTAGTTCAGTGGTTCAGTCCTTGGCTAGCATAGGTGAGGTCTTGGGTTCAATCCTCAGCACCACAAAATAAATAAGTAATAACAAATTACTTATTTATAACACATATGTGCACACATAATGATTATAAATCCAGAGCTTTAGCATTGAAAAGAAAATCTAATGTCATTCTTATATCTTCTCTTGGTAACATTTTACCATTTCTCCTTAGTTCTAGCATCATATGAGAATATGAGGATGGAAGTAAGACAGCCAGCTACCAAAGAACCAGGATTTAGTGAAGCTGCTACCTATGGGGGGGTTTTGTCTTTCAAATGTCCTGCCAGCCTTTATCACTGCTCTACACAGCTACTGGAAGCCAAAAAGGAGCCAGATTGATTGGAGAGGATTATTTGCATATGCTCAGAAGAGCAGAGACATAAGACATGCAACCAGATAAAATAAATAAATAAATAAGATTAAACAAAAAATAGGTGGAAAGAGAGACCAGAATCCCAAGGAAGGACACAGAGCAAATTTTGCAATGCCCACTTCCAATTCAGACAAGGAACCCAGGCAATTTGTAACTGAACAACAGCCTTCCTTCCGACTTGATGGAGGAAGCTGCTTGTCTGTCTCCCCAATGGTGGCAGAAGCATTGCTAACTCTTCCTGTTAACGAGGATGATGGGTCCTGGTTGAGGTTTGTCCAAACCCTGAGAAATGCCGAGGCCAGGGCTGCAGAGCACCTGCCTTCCGTCTTGGCCAGGCAAACCGCTCCCACCCATGCCCAGCAAGTGCAAACCCATGGCAGGGCAGTGCACCCTACTCGTCTTGAAAGGACTTGTTCTATTTTCAAAGCACACTCTAGGCCTTTAGCCTCCCCCTTCCAATAAGCAAGTCAAAGGTATGTTGGCACACGTTCATGAAACCGGGCTTGGCCCAGGTAATAGCTATTTCATTTTCAAAGCTAAGTGTACAGGAGGATGGGAAGAATATAAATAACCAGGATCTCAGCCTTCCTGACACACTTGCTACCAAAAACACAACAGGCTGGCTTTTCAAAGCCTAGGCTAATAGTCTCTGTCAACAGTCTCATCTCTCCCTTCGAAAGGGCTGTTTTCCCAGCCAAGACTAAGCTCAGGGTGTGGGCTAGATCTGCCCGAAGGAGCCTCACCTGTGCACTTGCATGTCCGGTTGAAGAACTTTCTGGGCCACTGCTCACGATCATCCTGGTTTCGCAGGACATAAGGGCCACTCCAGGGCCTGGTGTCCGCTTGAACCTCCGTGCACTGCCCCCGACCCTCCTGAGAGCCACAGATATTGGCTGGCTCCACACCCAGGGGTGGGCAGCACTCCTTGCTCACCAGGCTGCTCAAGGTCATACAGACCCGGGGAAACTGTGCCCAGGCTCCCAGTAGACTTCCATAACCCAAGCAAGCAAACAGAAGCCCCCACTGCACAGGACTCATGGCTGAATGGCTGAGAAAACTTGCTCAGCCTCTCCTCCTGACTTAGGTCTGGCTTTTCTCCTCTTCTTAAGTTCTTGGGCATTCATTCACTCGTCTATTTTTTTTTCTTTTTGTGTTAGTTTCTTTGCATTCTATTCCTCTCCTTTCAAAATCCCCACAAAAATCACAGAATCTACACATGTGCACATGGGTACCTGCACATGCACACACTATTTTATGCAATTCAAATAACTAACACAGATTTAATTTCGTAAGAAACGCCTCTAACAGCCAAATTTAATGAGGATAATGCTTCTTGCCATCTCTCCTCCACCTTTAAATCAGGCTTTGTCTAATTTAGTTAATTTACAGAACACTCCAGTCTTACTGCTTATTATGCTGGTATTTCTAAGCCTCCTCTTTCCCTCTTTAGCCCTTGACTTTAATTGCCTTGAACTAGTTCAAAAGCCAAACGCCGTGCTGCCTTTATTCTGTCTGGTTTGCCAAGTCATGGGGCCTGGTAGGGGTTTTGGAAAAGCTGGGAGAAGCCGTCATTAGGGGAATTATAGCTAGAGAAATCCTCATTGTTAGCACATGACCCAAAGTGCACAATGGAGCAGATAAAGTTCCTGGCTTTGTTTCAGGAGGGTAAAACCACCCTCTTTATTGGGCTCATGTGCTCCAGCCAAGCCTGTGACCTCAGACTTCCCAGCGAGTCAATAGATGCAGTGAGCCCTTCATCAAAGGCCCTTTACACGGGAGCACACATCGCTAGCTACTTTGCCTCATGACTGCTCACTGACGTGCAAGAACGACCACTACGGGAGGTCATACAACTTCAAAAATAAAGCAACATTGACTTAGGACTGGTGGACAAGGAACTGCTTTGTTCTACCATGACATTTCTCTTCCCTCTGCCTAATGACTTGCTCTTCTCCCATTCAGCACATCTATACAGCAGGTTTCTTTTCATTCATTCATGTGCAGTGCATGCCACCAGAACCTCACAACTGTCATGATCTGGTTGTCTGGAGACCAACGGGACAGTTTGGAGTAAGAAATGACAAGTGCATCTTTTGCTTTATGTTCCAGTTAGGTATGATGTAGTCTGTAGACTAGTGTCTCCCAGATGCTTTGGGATGAAGCAAGATGAGTGCCCAGTGGGTACCAAGGTCACTCATCAGAGCCTCTGTTTATGGTGGAAACAGAACTGTCATAATACCTCAGGATCTGACAGACAGCCCATCTGAAACTGCTTCAGCTAGCTTTTCAAAGAATGATTTCTACATAGACGTACTTAATGTTAATTTCAAAGAAATTTCTTAAAGGCTTTTTTTAAGGTATCTGGGTGTGCCCATACCATGTATCCTTGTGGTACCCTCGTGATAGTAAATGCCGGTGACTAATTTGACAGTGGATCTTACTTCTTGGCCTCAGAATCTCTGAGGGGTGCTCCACACATCAGCCTTTTCACAAGGTTTCTGGATGGTTTTACTATGCAGCCAGAATCATAAACCACTGAATGAGAATGACACAATGGTACAGACAGAAATTATGCAGCCCCATCAGCTAAGATATAAAGAGACATTTGCCTCCTCAGGGTGCTATAACAAATTGCTCTAACTTGGATAACTTCAAAGAACAGAAATCTCTATTTTTGTCATTCTGGAGGCTTGAAGTCTGATATCAAGGTGTGGGCATGGTGTGTGTGTGTGTGTGTGTGTGTGTGTGTGTGTGTGTGTGTGTGTGTGCCCTCCCAAGAGATTACTTGCTCTTTCTGGCCTCTGGTGGCTTCCAGAAAGTCCTTGGCTTTCTTGACTTGAATCTAGACATTCTAATCTCTACCATAGGTAGAGGGCATCTTCTCTTTGGTAGTGCTTCTCCATTTCTGTCTCTTCCAAGAAATGTCATGGGATTAAGGACCATTTGAATAATCCAGAAGTCAGTTTAAGATTTGTAATGCAATCACATGTGCAACGGAGACCTCTTTTTCCAAATAAAGGTACATTTACAGGATTTAGGGTGTATCTTGGGGGGAGGTAGGGGGAATGGATATCATTCAACCCATCATATCACAGATGGAAACTTGAATGCTAGAATCATAGTACCTCAGAGTTGGATGGGCATTTTGGACCTCATGCATTCAATCCATGGATGTTTATAGAGTGTGACTTCAAGCCAGCCTGGTAACACCACAGGTGTCTATTCCGGGTTTTATGAAGCTTTGGACTTTGATGAACATTGTAATTACAGTTTTGGATGTAAGCTCTCACAGCAGAACATCCCAAGGCCTAGCTCCTGAAATTCCTTTATTATCATTAAGATTTGTGCTCCATAACAGCTTCCTGAGGCTTTAATGCAGGCTGTTATGACTCTAGTTCTGGCCTCACTTGTAGCCTGACTAGTTCCCTTGGGGGTCTGAACAGCTCTTGCTTCATGGACTCAAGGCAGAATTTTTCCTGTCTCCTCCAATTTTCCACCACCAGTCTTCTCCATTAGTCCTTAAATCTTTCATTCTTCTCCTTCTCCTTTCCCTCACAAAGTTTTCCAGTGTACATACAGTAAACCCTGAGGTTCCTGCATGCGCTACTCAAAGCATGGTCCACAGCACGTTCCTGGTCTCTGTCAAGACCAGTACAGGGGCTGGGAAGGTGGCTCAGTGGTAGAGCGCTTGCCTTGCATGCATGAGGCCCTGGGTTCGATTCCTCAGCACCACATAAGAAAAAAGCTGGAAGTGGCGCTGTGGCTCAAGTGGTAGAGTGCTAGTCTTGAGCTGAAGAGCTGAGGGACAGCGCCCAGGCCCAGAGTTCAGGCCCCACAACTGGACCCAAAAATAAAAAAGACCAGTACAGGGCAGGAAAATAAAAGCCAGCATGTAGTAATGTTCCCATTGACTAAACATTGTCACACCTTTGAGCACGTGATCAGTCCTCTCCTTAAAGTGGGAAGGGTGCTGTTAAGGGATTATCTAATTTTCACCATGTGACTCAAGTTGCAATATGGTCATCCGCATTTATTTGGGTCACATGCTGATCTATGACTGAAAATTGTCTTTGAAAAATGCCTTACCATAGATAGTTTGAGATGGTCTCTCTCCCTCCCTCCCTCATTCTTGTTCTTCAGGGGCACAGTGCTATCTACCATCACATTGTCCACACGTAGCCCACTTGTTTCTACCTTGGCCTTTGTGCTACTCTTCCCTTTACCTGAAATATTCTTGCTCAGAATCCTCTTTGCCACTCAATTTTCATCTCCTTACTATTCATTTTAACATGGCTACACCTAGCCACCTACCACTACCATCCACCACTGCCTTATTTCATTTTCTCCTTAGCATTAATTCATTCGTTGGGTACTGTCTTGATTTTATTGCAAAGAAACTAAGGCTATTAGAACTTAGATGGCAAGCCTACAACAGAGCCATTTTCTAAGTTCTAAAAGCCTTAGTTTCTCTTCTACTTCCTACTCTGTGCCAGGTCCTGTACTACCTTATGTTATTTCATTGAAATGACCAAAAAAAGCTCCTTGAAATTTAAATGATCTTAATTGAAGTGAATTATTTCATTATTGCTATCCAAGATAGAATTAAGAAATCCTCATCCCAAAAGAGGAGACCAATTGCAGTTGAGAATCAGGATTGGTTCCCTGCTAGCCTGGAATTAACTGAATTACCTTTGGGTAACAAGCTGTCATCCTATATTAAAGTATGTTTTTGGAAATTAGTGTGTGAAGATCATAAGGTATTTCTTAATATCATCTAATATACTTCACATTCGAGAGATTTCTCTCAGAACTGACTGTCCAGAAGAACTGTCCTTCCTTATAGTAACCGCTACGTCCAAATTTTCAGCCTTGTGAAGCTCAGGATGGTATTTTCTTTGCTTTGGACAGTGATGGAGCTTAATGTCAAGCCTACAGGCCTCACATCATGCGATTGACTTGTGTAGTATCTAGTTCAATTATTTTCTTTCTTAGACTTCTTAAAGTTATGTGGTTCATATTTTCTCTATTTGGCAAATCATCTTTTTTTTAAGCTCTTTTACCTCCTTTGAGCCATAAGACAGAAAGAAGTATACATGCACGTGGATATTTCTGTGTGAACCAAAGGTAATCAACACCCAATCGCATAAGCAAGACAAGACTTAGAGAAAAACTGAAGAAGGATTCTCTGAGGAATGGGTATGAATGATCACAGATCTAAGAACAGAATTCCAAAAGATCACAGATTGTAAGCATGGCTACAATTAACACTGCCTTAGTTACAAGAGAAAAAGGCAGTAAGAAACTGAATAACAAAATCCAGGAGATATCATGGAGTATATCAAGATCATTTGTTGCCAATAAAAACTGTAAAATCAAAGGTTAGGGGAAGGAATGTTCTAAAATCCAGTTTAAAAAGAAAAGAGTTCATCATAGAGTCGAGAGAAGGAAAACGCCTTCTTTGAAACAATTCATTTTACCCTCTGCTTTTACAATTTGAGGTAAGACTGAATTAAAAATAAAAAGATGTTCCACACATTTTGTTGTTGTTGTTGTTGTTTTGGTCCCTAGCCCCATCTTGCTATAAGAGGAACTCAATGCATTAGATCCTTAATCTCTATATGAGATACGTTAGAGAATGTGTGCATGGATGATGTAGGGTGTGCATGCAAAACTTTGAAGCTTGGATGACAGCCATGCCTTCCCCACACTGAAAAGAAGAAATAAACAGCTCAAAACCTGGGCAGCGATTGTATAAGATGGTGAATGTCTTAGAGCCCTGGCTAAGGTTAATACAGAGAAAACATACACAGCATTCTTCTGCCTGTCACTGAGTTGCCTGCTCTTCTCTCTCCAGTCTCTGAATGTGAAAATTCTCCTATGTGTAGCCCCCTGCTGGGCTCCTCTGTCAGATGCTTTTTTATCTATTCTCTGCTGCCACATCATGGGGAAATGAGATTATTTTTTTCCCTGCATCCAAATTGTTTCCTAAAAGCTGAGCATCTGTCCTGATAAGGTTTTGCTTTCTACATCTAAGAGCT